TTATTGGCGGGGGTGTTCTTTTCAGTTGCTCTGGGTCCTTCTGTTGGCCACCATCGTGGGGCTTCTGCTCCAGCGCCTTGCAGCCAGACTGGGAGTGGTCACCGGGCTGCACCTCGCAGAAGTATGTCACCGTCAGTATCCCAAGGTGAGCCATGTGCTGTCCTCTTTGTGTCTCACCCCATCCCGGGAGAATCTGTGTCTGTCCTTGTGTGCCGACCCTACTATATATTGAGACATTGGGGGACTTGGGGTTAGTGGCCCTGAAGTCGGGGAGTACCAAGGGAAATCTCTGCCTCTCACAGGGAGAAATGTAGACAAGTCACAGTGTTTCATAAGGCTTATGATAACAGTGTTGTCCTTGAATTACATTCATTTTTATAACTAGTTTTTAACCATGGATAATTTCATGAATTCTGACTATCAGAACCTACAGTTTAGTCTAAAAATCATAGAGTTTATATAAAAAGGATGCACATTGTGTTTATCTGCAATCACTAAGGAGGTGAGGGGAATTTCTGTCCAGGAGTAGTGATGGAAGTGAAGTGGCTTCCTTCTTTTCCATCATTATTGTACTGCTATAAGTTGTTGTCTCAAGTTTTCTGTCCACCACTAACTGCAGACACTGCTGAAGAAGTCACTCACACTTGCTTATTTTGGGTGCCACTCGACTCCTCAGTCACTTCCATGTATTTCTTATGTGCTTCTTCGCTCATGAGCTCATCTAGTGCTGAAGGGTCACTCGCTGTCATCTTGATCAGCCAGCCATCTTCATAAAAAGGTGGCTGCCAAGCCCTGGATTTTCTGCAAGGGCTTCATTAACTTCAGTTACTTCTCCTCACAGAGGAAATAGAGTTCACTGGCAACTTTCACGTTTTCCAAAGCACCAAACTCATCTTGCTATTTCAGTTTTGCCCCAACTTCAGGTAGACTACAGTAAACAACATCTTCCAAAGCTTCCTGTGCAAAGTTGCCGATTCCTACTGTTCCAGTACCATTTTCTGTTGTCATCCATCCGTATTTCTCTGAATTTATGCACTTTGAGTAGTCCCAGTGCACAGAGACCATGCAGTGCCTCCCCACAGTCACTAGGGCTGAATTGGGCCAGGCTACATGAAGTTTTTTTTAATCTCTGAAGGATGTGATTGTGTGTGATTTTCTGTTGATCCATCCGTATTTCTCTGAATTTATGCACTTTGAGTAGTCCCAGTGCACAGAGACCATGCAGTGCCTCCCCACAGTCACTAGGGCTGAATTGGGCCAGGCTACATGAAGTTTTTTTTAATCTCTGAAGGGGATATTTTCCTTCGACTGGGTATTGAACTTGGGACCTTACGTTTGAGAGGCAGGTGGTGGCACCACTGAACTAAATCCCCGGCCCTCCCTGTTTATTTTTTCACCTCAGCTATGATCAGGATAGATGTTTTCATTTGCAGTCATATCCCCATCTCTGTTGATATAACTATTTTTCCCAAAAGGTATAGGGCTGATTTTAGGAAAGAAATTAAGAGGAAGTTCGTAAATGGAAATTCCATTCCTTTCTTGATTGGGAAGGAAGGAAAAAACAGTAAGATCAGTTGCCATGCTCACTTTGGTGTTCATAGGTCCCACTATGTGGAAGGACGTGTTCCTTCTTCCTTTGGGGGCCACATGCAGTGAGTGCCAATGGGGACCAAGTTCGGGGCCAGGTCTAGAGGCTTACAAAGGACTGTCTGTGAGTCTGCCAAAATGAGAATTCCAAACGACAGAGGAAATGTTTAGAAATGAACAATCAGAACCACATCTTTCCGCTCTTTTCTCTGTAGGTCCCACGAATCATCCTGTGGCTGATGGTGGAGTTGGCTATCATTGGCTCAGATATGCAGGAAGTCATTGGCTCAGCCATTGCCATCAATCTCCTGTCTGTAGGAAGGTGAGGGGGTTGTCAGTGTTTTGCTGGATTTCAAAGAAAGATTCAGCTGAATATTATTTCTTCTTTGGAGCTTTTTAGGGACTACCTCCCTCTCCACTAGCCCATGTCTCTGCATCTTCCATATCTGTAGTTTCACGTGCATAAGACTACAATAGCATGTGTGGCAGCTTCTATTATATTTATTTAATTATGTGTTTATCCCAGTAGATAGTGAGCTCCTTGATGATAAGATCCATGTTTTTCAGCTTTGTATGCTAAATGTCTGACATAGCACACGCTGAATCAAGGTTTGAATGATTATATTTAAGTTGTTATTATGATCCTCAGGGACTGACTTCCCAAGGGTTCTTCTCTAAGGGTTCTGTATCAGCAGAGCAGTTGGGAAGGGGGTGCTGTTTTTCAATGTTACCTTTAATCTGCATTTCCATCTCTAACCTAGGGTTCCTCTCTGGGGTGGAGTCCTCATCACCATTGCAGATACATTTGTATTTCTCTTTTTGGACAAATATGGTAAGGAGAGTGGGAAGGGGCAGGACAGTCAGTGGACCCACTTGGCTTTCCTTCACGTGGCTGCTGGAGAAGCCTGCCTTCTATAAGCTCACTGCTGCGTTTCCTCTTTAGGCTTGCGGAAGCTGGAAGCATTTTTTGGCTTTCTCATCACTGTCATGGCCCTCACATTTGGATATGAGGCAAGTGTTACTGGCTGTTCATTAGCTTTTTACAGTAGGATTATTTGTTTTGTTTTGAGCCTTTCATCGTAAAAAAGATAGCAGTAGTCATGCTGGGAGGCTGAGGCAGGAGGCTCATCAGTTTGAATCCACCCTGGGTGACTTAGCAAGACCGTGTCAAAATTAAAAATTAAAAAATGACTGGGGTTGTAGCTTAATGAGGAGGCCCTAGGTTCAATCCCCAATACTTGGGAGAGGGTAGGGAAGACAGCAGTAGTGCTAGAATGGTTTAATTTTATTACACTTATCAACAAAAAGCCAACTCAGCTCTGGGCTGATCTTGAAGGAATATAATCTCCAGCAACAATTAGTGTATTTGAAGGCCTACAAAGACTTTTAGGTCAAAAATGACTAGACACTCTGGTGGTGCTTTCCAGTCTATATGCCCGAGTCCCAGAATGGCCATTAGAACAACAGAACAGTTTGGAGAAGTCTAGGTAGATTGCAGGGTTATTTTTGCCTGTAATCTTAGGGTGGTTCTGTTTTCTCAGTTATTCTTGGATGCTAACTTAAAATGTTTAAAAGGTTTTGCTTATCCTGATTTGTATTAATTATAGCTTGAATTTTCCCTGTATTAAAACAATTGATAAATTATAAATGATAAATCAACATTCCCTGGTTTGTTTCCCAACCTAAACACTCCTAAGAATTAGTACCACTATTTGTAATAATAACACCTTCATGTGTCCAGGAATCATTTAATGTCTGCTTATTGGCCTGGCTAAACTTTAAAAACTATGTCTAATTCTGTGATTAGATTCTGCAGGCTGGCCCTAGGCTTCCAAGAGAAATGCTGAACCAGGAAAAAGTATATAAAAATTTTTATGAATGAGTCTTTGATACAAGTGAGAAACATAAATCATTTATTTTATGAACTTTTTTTTCGTTGTTTATTTGTACATTTTGGGTAATGCAGTATGATGATATTCATCATTTGGGAATTTGTACCTTCATAATAATACATCTTGGTTCTTATTTTTTCCCCCATCCTCTTGCCCTCCTGTCAACCCCTCCACTTCTTAACGTTGTTTCCTGTTTTTCTTTTTCTCATATTTATTCCTTCCTCTTCTTTCCTTTCCCCTACACCTCCTACTTCCCCTTTGAAGCCTTTTCCTATTTCACATTATCTGTTATACATTTTGATAAGTGATTTTTCTGATGAGCAGAGGTTACTAGAGAAATATAAGTGTGGACAATCAAGAATTGATTCTCTATATTAGGAGTTAATGTGAAGCTAGTTACAATAAGACCTTTAGTATCCATTTCATTTTTTTAGAATAATAATTTCATTGACCCTATATCAAAATAAAAAATAAAGGGCTGGGAATGTAGCAGAGTATGAAGGCCCTGGGTTTAATCCCTAGCACCCAAAAGAAAGAGGAAGAAGCTGGGCATGGTGGCTCATGCCTGTAATCCCAGCCCTCGGGAGGCTGAGGCAGGAGGATCGCTGTGAATTCGAGACCAGCCTGGGCTAAATAGTGAGTTCCAAGTCAGTCTCAACTACATAGTGAGACCCTGTCTCGAAAAACAAACAAACAAAAAAAGGAAGAAAAGGAAAGAAGGAAAGAGAGAAATATTTAGATAGTCCTGAATTTTCTGACTCCTAGGAGCCAGCCTTTCAGTTGCTTATTATTTATTTATTTTGTGCTAGGGTTTGAAACTCTGGCCCTTGCACACACCAGGCAAATGCTTACCACTGAACTGTAGCCCAGCACTGTTACTGTTTTAAGGAGGCAGGCTGTCGCTATTTTACCAGAGCTAACCTTGAATTCCTAAGCTGAAGTCCTCCTGCAAAAGTCTCCCAATATCTGGTACTACAGCTGTGTGCTAGTGCAGCCGACTTTACTTGTAGGTGGATTTTGTGGGAGAAAAGCTGGTGGGGAATAAACAAGTCCTATGGTTCCTTTGTGATGTGTTCGTCCCCCATCTCAAGTTCATTAAAGGCTAATAGTTGCTCTGTTGGTATGTAGTATATTACAGTGAAACCCAACCAGAGCCAGGTACTCAAGGGCATGTTCGTGCCATCCTGTTCTGGCTGTCACACCCCACAGATTGAACAGGCTGTGGGCATCGTGGGAGCTGTCATCATGCCACACAACATGTATCTACATTCTGCCTTAGTCAAGGTGAGTAAGGCCCTTAACTCCGTGACAACCTGGATAGTTCATGGCATCCTCTTTCCCTTTAGTTGCCAGGGATACAGCTATAGCTTTGCAACACTTAGAGCCCTGAAGGAACAAGATTATTTTCTAAGGCAATATTTATAAACTTCACATGCTTATTCTGTATTTTTAGTCACTAAATTCATCAGGGATTACCAACCCCTCCCAGGTACGCTTGGGCTAACATTCTTCATAAAAGGTCTGAAAGCGTACTAAGTCTCTTATTCTTAAATCTGAAAATTCTGAGTGGTCTTGTACAAGTCCAGAGTGGGGTTGGGGATTTAGCTCCCTGGTGCTGCCACCTACCTCACAAACACAACGTCCTGAGTTCAATCCCCGGTACTAAAAAGAAAAAAAAAAAGTAAAGGAGCCCAACCAAGCCTCACCAGGGAATCTTATACTGGGCAATTTCAGAGACTCACTCATATAAATAGGGTTCTATGCCCTTAGGACAGAAATCAGCTTGCTTTTTAGGTCAGTGCTTGTTCCATCCATAATACTGAGAGTTCAGCAGTCAGTCACTGGGGACTGTCACATGGGGCATGTGCCATGTTGTCCAAGGGTATGGATTTAATTACTTACTGAACTAGGATTTAGGTGAGTGTCGGATCTCTTACATTGTGTCTAGTCAGCTGTTTACCCTCTTAATCTCTTAGTTGACTCCAAAGTCCTGAACTGTCCCTGGAAACTTGCTCCAACTAGTCAGAAAAATGACTGTTTCTATTATTTCTAGTCTAGACAGGTAAACCGGGCCAATAAGCGGGAAGTTCAAGAGGCCAATATCTGTATTTCTTTTTTTAAAAAACAGTTAAAAATGTGCAAAGGAAATCAAAGACTGTCAGTCTTGGTTCTATTCTTACCCTGAGTCAATCAACTATGAACTAGGAATAGAGCAGCACAGTATATAAATGCTGCTTCTAGGGAGTAGGGCAGTCGCTGTAAACCAGAAAACACTAAGAGCTGCCTCCCACAGACTTATTTAACAAACATGTGCTGAGTTCCCGTGTTGACCCAGAGATACCACTGGAGAAACCAGAGCAAACAAGCAGAGTCTCCAGCCTGCTCTAGCTCCTCTGATTTAATCCACTAAGTGCCTTAGTCATAACTGAGCTGACAAATCAAAGCTGGGGATTTAGCTCAGAGGTGCTGCCACTTGCCTCGCAAGCACAAGGATCCGAGTTTGATCCCTGGTACCAAAAAAAAAAAAAAAAGGTCACAAATGGTGAATCGAATATTTAACTCCTGCCTTGCTCCAACATTAAAAAGGAGAAGTGAAAAAGACCTTGCTCTTTACTTCCTGTCTTATACTTCCCCCCAGGATGAAAACTATGGATACATAGATGTGTTCTGGAAACACTTTTTTTTTTCCAATACCAAGGGTCAAACTCAGGACCTTGCACTTGCAAGGTAAGTGCGGTGCCACTGATTTAAACCCCTGGCCAGAGGAAACATTGTTACCAAAAAGAATCAGAGAAAACACATACACTGACTAATGCAGAGACCTGCCCTGGCTGCACCTCACTGCCCATGGCCTGAGGCCACAAAGAGGCCAATAAAGGCTGGAACTCAAGAACACCACACCAGACCCAAGGCTCCCTCTCCAGCACTCAGCCACGAAGCTCCTTTTTCCTATCTTTGCCAGCCTTGTGCTTCAGTACCAGGTGAATACAGGTAATGTGGACATCTGTGTTTAAGAGGGGTGGGTATGAAGAAGCAGGGATTTGGTTGCTCAGAAAGACAGGAACACAGAGATGTTGAAAGATGAGATTCCCAAACAGATGGCTGAAGAGCTGGCCTCTGTCATGCACCGTCTCAATGCATCCCCTTTGGCCTCAACCCCTATATCCTGTCAGACAGAGACACCCAGGGGAGGCAGGGTACTTTTGGTATACTCAGAAACTATACAAGAGGGCCGGGGATTTAGCTCTGTGGGGCTACCACCTGCCTCACAATTACAAGGGCCTGAGTTCGATCCCTGGTACAAACAAAAAAAGAAAACAACTGTACAAGTTACGATGCTGCCTTCCTGCCCTATATGTAACCCTGAGACCTAGCCCAGCTCTACCTCATTTCAGCTGTACTTCTAAACTATTGGTTAAAGCAAAGCTCCTAGTTAGTTTTCACCTTAGTGTAGGAAAGTGAAAGTCCTTGCCTTTATGCTCAAAACATTTTCTCTTACCATTTACCAAACAGGTCTGTCTTATTCATTTTAGCTTTCAGATTTTTACTCTTATTCCTTGTCTCAGCCTTTGTCTTCCTGGAAACCCCCAAACTACCACAGGGGAAGCTAGGGATGCACATGGCGAAAGACTGCACCAGAAGATGGTCCTTTGTTTTCCAAAAGGAAGGGAAAAGCATGTTTCATAATGCCAGATCACCCAGATATTTGGAATAGTTAGCAGAGAGGCCCGGAAGGAAAATAAAGAGTGTCAAAGATGCTTCCAGTGTTTTTATCTTGGGAGCCTAGAAAAATAGTACCACAGCAGATACGATAAATTTGCTTAACCACTTTTAGCTTCAAAATCCACATTAGTATAATAGGGTTAACCTAGGTAGCTGCTTCCCATACTAAAATGGTGTGCATTCAGTAAGAATGTCCTTTGAAAATTATCTGATGTTCCATAAGTCACTTCTAATTTATGCAAAATCAGTTGTTAAGACAGAGAGAGAGAGAGAGAGAGAGAGAGATTTTCATTCAGGGAAAATGGTGACACATTTGGATAGAAAATAATCCATCAGATAAAGATAAATGACTAAGCTTAGTGAAAAGTTTAAAACTATAGATAACACTATGTGGGAGTGATCTTGACGGAGATGAGGTCAAGGATATGATAACAGCTAAGATCTCGGAGGGACAGAGTGTGCTGAGAGGCTGAAGTTGCCCCAGGAACCACATGTCCAGCGATGGTCAAAGATACAAAGGTCAAGGACCACTGCATTTGGAAAGAAGGCAGCATTTCTAAAAATCCCCTCGCTTATCTTTGTTTATGGATTAATTTCATTTACCAGTTCCCATCTGTTTTGCTGCAAACCTCAAGACTTCATTCTTTCTGGTTTTACAGAAAGACAAATACAGCAAATTCTCTCTCATATGTGGAAGTTTAAAAAAATAAAGTCAAGCTGAATATAGAACAGTGATTACTAAAGATTGGGAAAGCAGTGTGGGAGGATAAAGAAAATCTGGATTTGATCAGTGCATGCATGTATTAAAATATCACAGTGGCCCTCATTAAAATAGATGATTAATATGTGTTAATAAAAATATTTTTAAATACTTTCTTGGATTAATTTATGGCAGATTTACTCTCATTTGGTATTTCCTAGGATCATAGGGATGGGATAGACAGTACGTAGGTGTCAAAGGTGCTAAGTTGGAGGTCAAAAAATGCTATTCTGAAAGCAAATATTTGGATTCCCTATTCATCTTTTCCTCTTTGTCTCCTTAGATTTTTTTAAAATTACTCAAGGCAGGGAGACTAAACAAAAGTTTTTGGATTCCAAAGATGTAGAGAGACTCTCTAGGCCTGCCCAGTCGCTTACACCAATATCCCTAAACACTACACTTAAAGTTAACAAATTTTCTCTTACTCTATTCATCTCTCCCAGCAGTTTTAACATCATCTCAAGATGTAACCTTTTCCCAGTGTTTTTTTTTTCCTCTCTTCCTTATGCAGAATTTTTAGTAAGGAAAAAATGTTTAAATGGTTTTGGGAGATGCAAGGACCAATGCAATGCAGATGAAAAGGATATACAGAAATGCAAGAAGAAAAAATGTTGCATTGGACCAAGAGTGATCCGGTTGATAGATATCTACCTGCAGAAACAAATACCCCATGTACCTACTGAAGACATTATAGAAATGCTAATCAACAAGAATTTTAGTATTGCAATGGAAAGAAACTATATTTTACCTGTTCTCACCAAAAGTATTGGCCCTTCCCCCGATATCGACTCTGACATCATCCCAAAGGACAACCCTATGAACTCTGCCACCAACAGCAACTGGGGACCAGTACATACCCCACACACCATCTGTTCTACCAAAAGTGACACCAAGCAATGCAGAGATTCTGCCAACACCTCCACACCACCACCACCACCGCCCTAGAGACTGTCATTGCCGCTGATGGAGCTGGAAGAAGCGGATGGATAGTGATGTGACTCTTTCCCTTAAAGTAGCAAGTTCCTCTCTATTTCCATACTCCATAAAATAAGGCATGCAACTATCTCTTCTGTCATCAGTTATTCAAAAAATACTGTTTAAACACCTATGACTTGTGTAATGTTATCAGTGTCACAGGAGACTCAGAGTAGGCAGAGCCAGAGGGATGTAATTTTACGTGGAAATGCCCAGGAGAGTGAGCACTGGGAACAGTGACAAGAGCATTGAGTTTGGCCCACGGATGGCCTTAATCAGGACTTCTGTAACCAGCACTTATAGCTTTCATATATAGTGCTTTTCCTGAGAAATAGGAAAAAATTTTGGTGGTGGTGGTACTGGGGATTGAATCCACGGAGTACTGGGCTACACCTGCAGCCCTTTTCACTTAATTTTAAGACAGTGTCTCACTAAGCTGCCCAGGCTGGCCTCGAACTTGTGATCCTCCTGTCCCAGCTTCCCAAGTAGCAAGGATTACAGGCAGGGAACCATGCCCAGTGACACATTTTTTTAAATCATAGATGTTGGAGAAAGGACTTATCCATAAAAGAGAAAGTAGAGAAAACAGAAGCAAGTGAAATTAATTTTAAACTATTTTGTTTAATGCAATATATCTAAAACATTATTTTATCAACATATGATTAATACAAAATTATTCATGTGATATTTTATTCTTTTTTGAACTAAATCTTTGGGGTTTCATATGGGTATTACATTTCCATTTGTACTGGTCACAAGTGTCAAGTACTTGCATGTGGCTAAGGGAAACCACATCATATTAGATAATATAAGGTTAGAGAGTTTTGAGGGCATAACTAGCAATAGGACTGTTAAACAAAATGACGATACTAACGGAGAAGATAACTACATTTCTTAGGGCTGTGGTATCGAATTTGAATGCCGAAATTCAAATCTGACATCTCTTGGCTAGCTTCTGAATTCTGACACTTTTTAGCTGTGACTTTAAACAAATCACTTATCTATACATGATTATCAATTTATTCATCTATAAAATGGAGATACCATATAACTATACACGGTATATACTAGTATATGCTATAGAATATAGTATATAGAAGTGTATATAGTGTATACATATACACTATATTACATGCTATATAATATAAATGCACATATAAGCATACATAGTGTGTGTGTGTGTGTATATATATATGCTACACAGTGTATATATACATATATATATATGTATATATCATACTCCAGAAATGACAAAGAGCACATCACACTACATGCTATATAATATAAATGCACATATAAGCATACATAGTGTGTGTGTGTGTATATATATATGCTACATAGTGTATATATACATATATATATATGTATATATCATACTCCAGAAATGACAAAGAGCACATCACCCTTCCTTAATTGCTTAAGTGATAATGACGTAGACCTCTATTCCACTTTTTTAACAGCTTTATTGAGGCAGAATTGATGTACAAAGAATAGCACATGTTCAATATCCATATGGTGATTAGGGTGGAGTGTCAACTTGACTGGCTTCGGAATCCACCAGGGGATTGGCAGGACTTACTCCTGGGTGTGTCTGGGCAGGTCACAGAGGCAAGACATTGGGGTCTGTTCCCTCACGCCTCCCTCTCTGGCACTGTTCTCCTGCTCTGCTTTCTAACCATCATGAACTAAGCATCTTTGATCCATCACATCATTATACCATAATGTTTCTGCCTTGCACCCATCTCACTATGGAATGAATTATCTGAAACTGTGAGCCAAATTAAACCTCTGCTCCTTGAAGTTGTAGGCATTGAGTATTGTGCCCAAGCAGCAGAAAAGCTGACTAATACAGTGTCTGTACCTGACCTTGTGGTTTTAAAGTCTTTGGGATTGGTTTGCAGGAAGAGTTTGGAAGGCTTTGGAGGTGTTAACTAGAGAAGCCTTAGAATGGTGTAAGCAGAACCAAAAGGGTAATTCTGGTTGGCACTCAGCAAACCAGAATGCTATTAGGAATATAGGCAGTAAAGATCTGGATCCGGAAGTTTCCACTTGGAAGAGAACTTCTTGGTAGTTATAATAGAGGCTATGAACATTATATTCTGGTAAATAACTTGTCTTCACTTTACCCAGGTCCTAAGACTTTGTATGAGGCTGAATTTAAAAGTAATAGACTAACTAATCTGTCATAGGAAATTTTAAGATAGTCCAATATTCAGGCTGTAACATGAGTTGTGCAGGCTGCTTTTAACCAGATTTATAGTGAGGATTAGAGGCAAAATTATGCAGAGTATAAAAATTTGAAAAACTGAAGTTTTGGCCAGAAGCCAGCATGTATAAAGTTGGAGATGAAGGAGATGTGGTTCCGAAAGAGGTTAGCACCATTAAGAAGAAATCAAATACTTTGTACAGAAACACAAAGAAAGATATCTCGAGGGCATCTCAGGAAGCAGCAAGAACCTATCATTAAATACGCAAAGTGAAAAATATCAGCCTTTTATTTAAGAGCTCCTGGGCCCCCTGCTCAAGAATGGCTGCCTAGGGAATTGGTTCCCTGAGATTCTTTTCATTGTGTTTAGCCATCCGGGCACTCAGAGGACACTGCAGCCATAGTCCAAGGAGGCCTGGCCACTCCCTGTACTGGTGGCAGATGTTGATGTTATCCACATAATGCTGATTTTACAGATACGCAAAATGCAAGAGTTGTGAGATTAGGGAGTCTTTCACTTGGATTTCAAAAGAAAAAACAAAGCATGAGAGGTCAGACAATGTGCCTCTGAGAGAGCTATGGGTGAATCTGAGAATGAAGCAAAGGTAAGATGGAGACCCCAGGAAGTGAGAGTTGCCAAGAACACGGAAAATCTGCTGAAGAAGCTGCAGGCCACAAGCATAGCAGGCCTAAGATAAAAGCCATAGGGATAGAGCCACTCACACCTTCTAGACTGCATACTTTAGTACCATGTGCCCTGTTATGCCAGGAAAGGAGTTATAGGACTTAATGTTTGCCCTGCTGAGTTTCAGTCCTGCTTTGGTCATGTTCTTCTCTATCCTCTTCTTTCTCCCTTTGGAAATAGGAATGTTTACCCTTTTCCATTGCACCTTGAGATTATGTAACTTGTTTTTAATTTTTATAGGTGTTCACAACTATCCTGAATCATTTTTATTTTTTCTTTTATTTTTTAATAAATTTTATTGTATTTATCCATTTCTCCACTCAATCCCCTTCTGCTCTCTATGTACAAAAAGCTTTGTTCCCATTTTTTCCTATGTTCATTTTTTTTCTTGTCCCTTCCTTCCTTTCTCCCTCCCTCTTCCCTTGTTCCCCTTCCCATTTGAACATTTTCTTCCCATTTCCCAATATCTATTATACATTTTAGTCCTTATTTCCACTTTAGGCTTCTCACACCAGAGAAACAGAATTTAAACGTGTGTCTGACTCATTTCACTTAGGAGTATGGTCTCACTATCCATCCATTTTGCTATAAATATCTGAAGCTCATCCTTCTTTGTAGCAGAGTAGTGTTCCACTGTATAAAAAACACATCTTTATCCACTTGTTAGTCAGTGGGCATTTGGGCTGTTTCTAAGACTTAGCTATTACACATTGCACTGCTGTGAACATGGGTGTGCATATATCACTGTGGTACGATGCTTTTGATTCTTTCAGGAAGATACCAAGAAGAGGTATAGCTGGACCAAATGGAACCTCTAGCTTTAGGTTTTTGAGAAAACTCCACGGTGATTTCCACAGTGGTTGCCTCAGTCTACACTCCCACCAACAGTGGAGAAGGGTTTCTTGCTCCCCATAGCCCCTCCAGCATTTATTTTTGGTTGATTTCTCTTTTCTTTTTCATTTTTTATTGAGTTTATTGGTACATTTTAGGTATCATGTAAAGGTACAAATTCCCAATGATGAATGTCATCATATTTACTGATTGATTTCTTGATATCCATTCTTTCTGGAGTGAGATGGAATCTCAGCCTTGTTTTAATTTGCATTTCACTAATGATCAGTGGTGTTAAATATTTTTTTCATACATTCGTATATTTCCAATTCTTCATCTGAGAAGTGTCTATTTCAGATGCACATTTTTATTGGGTTTTTTAATAGGGGGGGGTCTAATTTTTTTGGTACTTTTATATTCTAGATAATAGTCCTTTATCTAAATAGCTGGTAAAATTTTTTCCCATATTGTGGGTTGTCTCTTCACACTGTGAAGAAGCTTTTTAATAAGATGGGGTCTTAGTTGTTGATTCTTTGTAATATTTTCCAGACAGTCTGGGTTTTGATAATGAAGTCTTTGTCTGCTCTGTGTCATCAAGCATTCTACCTATTCTCTCTTCCAGCAGATTCAGTGTTTTATTTTAATATTTAGATCTTTAAAAAGGTGTGAAGGGGAAGTGGGAGGGGCAGGGGAGAAGAAAGAAAGGAAGGGAATTAATATGAGAAAAAGAAAAAATGGAAACAAAGTCTTTGTGGATAGAGGGTGTGGAGGGATTGAAGCAAAGATACAAATTTCCAATTATGAATGTCATTGTATTATATACCTAAATTTTCTAACAAAGTTAATTTTTAAAAATATTTATATCTTTGATACATTTTGATTTTAGGTTAGTGCACGGTGAGAGATATGGATCTAGATTTAATTTTTAGCATGTAGAAAGCCAATTTTTCCAGCACCATCTATTAAAGAAGCTATTTTTCTTCCAGTGAAGGTGTTTGGTCTCTTTGTCAGAGATAAGGTGGCTTAGCATGAGTGGAGTTGTTTCTGTGTCCTCTAGCCTGATCCATTGATCCTCAGGTCTGTTCCTTTGCCAGTAC